TAATTTAAAATAACAGTGTTCGTGCCATATGGAAGGAATAATAATATTCTATCCGTTCTGGGAGGGATCTCTTTTTAGCCCCTGATGGAAATCAGATTATGTAAAAATGCTTTCTTGAACAGAAGGCGTGAAGGGATGTAGCGTATTCCCAGCTGCCAGCCAAATCTGTGGTTCGGCCACCGGGGGTGGCTCCATCCTCTTCTGGAAACAGAGGGAAGGCTGGTTTTTGGTTCTGGTGGATGTCATAGTCCACCACCTCTGCCTTCCCAGCGAAAATCATTCCAGCTCCTGCAGTAACAGAGGAGCTCCAAGCGTACATGTTTTCAGCGATCGGCATAACCAGGTAGTTTAAAGCAAGACCCATTTCTTTTGTTGCTGTTGAGAGCAATTTCCAATGAAATCCTGAATAGCTTCATGTTTTTTAGATGTAATGAGAAAGAGAAACGTGTTATAGTTTTCTCATGGAAAGACCAAGTCCCAGGGTTTCCTATAATCTGCTTGAAGGCACTGCTACTCAATTTGTGAAATCCTGCATGGAACACGGCCAGCTATGGTCATGCCCTTGCTCTCTAGACAGAGTCCAGAGTTTAAGGTCTTATTCTGGTTTGGACTCCTGTGGCTCCTATGCATGGCTCCTGCCACCTAGACCAGGCTGCTTTCTCCTTAAATTATCCTATATTCTGTCCCCTCCTGTGCTCCAAAGCCTCTCACGAGGGGCCCCAAGTGCTTTCTCAATGGCTCCTACTCTTATTTCTAATGTTCCAGTACCTGAAAGAATTCCCAGTGATTTTCTCAACATAAGACCTTCAATAAAATAATACTCTGTTGTCATTCAATGAAAATTAACCAAAGAATTTTTTTTTTTAATAAAGCTGTGAATGCTACCTTTCTACCTCTCTAACAGTGCAGGGAAACTGAAATCCATGAGTATTCCTCCCCATCCCGAACCTTTACAAACTGATAAAACAGAAAATTGGGCAAGGAAGGACACATACTATTCCCTGAAATGTTATTTGCAACCTTTGAAAAGCAACTTATAATTTATCTGACCAGGTAACAGCCTCTACTATTTTCCAGACTAACTTAGCAGCAATTAGAAAATCAAGCACACACACCCCCATACACCAAAAATAACTCTTCCTTGAAAATCTTAAGTTCTTTGGCAACACTGTGTCTCCGAAATCAGAAATCATTACTATTTTTTTTAAGTTTATTTTGAGGGGGGTGGAAGGCAGAGAGAGAGAGAGAGAGAGAGAGAGAGAGAGAGAGAGAGAGAGAGAGAGAAAATTCCAAGCAGGTTCTGTGCTGCCAGCGCAGAGCCTGATGTGGGGCTTGAACTCACAAACTGTGAGATCATAACTGAGCCCAGATCAAGAGTTGGATCCTTAACCGAATGAGTCACCCAGGCGCTCCCAGAATTTGTAACTGTTAAAACACATTTCGGAAATTAATTTTCTGACTTTAGAAACAGGATTTTTAGAGCAAATTCTTTTGAGATTTTTGCTGACTTTATAATTAGTGTGCTCACTGGAAGAGACGTCTGAGTTTATCAGAATTTACACAATGGTATTTGCCCTGGCAAATGAGTGAAACAAGAACATAACAGAAAACATGCATTCAAAGTACTTTATTGATAATTAACACCAAACAGATTGGGAATTTAAAATATTCTTTCCACTGTTGTTTTTTTAATGATTTAAACCCACATTCCCAAACTCAAGATTATTAAGAGCAGAGGTTCCAAACTTTTATTTAGATAATAAAGAAGCCTTTTGAGAATTTGATGAAAGCCAGGAATTTATTCCCAAGAAACATGCATCTACTCACAATTTTGCATATATTTGGGGGGCAATTCAGTCCCTTGAAATCTGTCCAGGGGTCTGTGGTTAGGAAGCCTGCGGCCAGAGTGTTCAAGGATCTCTGCTGCCTCTTACCCCAGCAACCCTAGCTGCCTCCACATGGTAGACAATGAGTAGACCATAAGAGATCCTTGACATTGTGGGGCTCTCAGGAAGTGAGGTCTACATATCTTCAAAGCCAAAACCTTCTCAATAGACTTGTCAACCCTATGATAAAACAGAATTCTAGGAAAAGCCCTCAGGACACAGCTCAGATTGGCATGATCTTCCATAAATTTGCCAGTAGTGGATTACCTCATGGTACTCTTATTATTCACAATGACTGCCATGTTTTGAGGGCAGTATTGATCTAGGAGCTCTACGAGGCATTGTATACATTTTGATTTCATCTAACCATCAGACTATCCCTGCCCTGAGACCTATTAGTACCTTCACTTCGGAGACACTTAAGTGCCTTCATTAAAGTCACAAGGTTGTTACTGAGTAGGGGATTCAAAGGTCTATCTGCAGGATTCTGAGGCCTTGGTGTTAGAAGCAAAGTATCATTTTATATAACCTGCTATAAATCTAATATGGCACCATAACTATATACAGGGTCATTGTGTTTGACCCCGTGGCCAAGGGTCAGGAGTGTGGCACCTAGGATTTGCCAGCTGGCCTGTACTCTTCTGGAGCCAATGCCACACAATAGCCTAATCCCAGCAAGAACATGAACGGGTGCATGCAAGGATCCGTCCAAGTCCATTTTGACATCTGTAAAATTAACCAAGGAATATTCCCTGTTACTGTCTCAGCTGTAATGTTCACATGTCCTAGTCTCTCCTGCAAATGTGGAAGACAGGTGGAAACTTACCAGGACACCATACAACGAAGAACAATGCATTCTTCTCTAACAATACATGAAGAGAGAACTTTTTAAAAAAATTATGGGGCTTTAGGGTATTTTTTTTTCGCCTTTTTAACAGAATGATATTATAAACCCTTACTTACCAACACCTGCCTTTAGCAATTATCCACTCATGGGCAATCTGGTTTCATCTAAACCACGACTCACCCTTCCTACCTATAAATGCTCAATTAGGTTTTCAGATATCAAATAATTGTGTTCATATATAAGTGAAAACACTTAATGAAGTCCACGCGGGCAGTAGTTATGGCTACAGTAAGTTTCACTGCCGGAGCCCCAGTGTTAGTTATTCCATGAACTGTGGTCTATGCAGTGAGTACAACATCTCTTAAAGGAAAATAGGAGCTACTCTTGGTAGTGAAATACCAAACATCTATCGACTCTACACATCTAAAATATAACCTTATTTTCTATCCAGCTGTGGCCTCTGGAAAATGCACTGCTGTTTGCTGCATTCCACACAGGATTGCTGTAAGACTTATGTAAAACGGAACCTATAAAAAAAAAAAAAACACACAACTAAAAAGAATACTTACTATTCTAAAATTGTATTGGGGTGCCTGGGTGGCGCAGTCGGTTAAGCGTCCGACTTCAGCCAGGTCACGATCTCGCGGTCCGGGAGTTCGAGCCCCGCGTCGGGCTCTGGGCTGATGGCTCGGAGCCTGGAGCCTGCTTCCGATTCTGTGTCTACCTCTCTCTCTGCCCCTCCCCCGTTCATGCTCTCTCTCTGTCCCCAAAATAAATAAATAAATAAATAAACGTTGAAAAAAAAATAATAAAATTGTATTGCTTTCAAGATAAACAATTAGCACCTGGACATTTCACCTCAGTGAACCTTGCTGACCTGCTTTCTTATTCTATCATTCTAACATTCTTTCTATCTGGGGTTTTGAAAATTCAGTTTATGAACAAAATTATAATATCCTGAGAAGTATTTTCTAATATTAATGCAAAATATTAAGAACAACAGCCTTGCCGTTGCAACTACACATGGCATTACTTATCAACACTGTTCCCAGCTACTTTTTGGGTTAAGCCCCACAGATGCTCTAGAAGTCTCTCTGGGACCCCAAACCCTGTCCCTCCAATCTCAGCTGAATAAAACAGCCTTCACTCAAACACTGCGTATCTTATTCACTGGAGCTGCCGTAGACACTTCCTATCTGTGTAATTATCACTGGAAGTATGGACAGATATGGTTCTCAAACTCTGGTAAATCCAACCTCTGCTTTGAATATGAACATTATATATGCAAGCTTTCTGATGCGAAATATTTTCACAAAACCACATTTGGTTCCGTAAGGTCTCGGAGGCTTGGCTTGCTGAGATCGGCTTCTCTGGAGAAGAGCTGTTTCTGTAATAATTCTGCAGAGGTGAGAAAGACCTTTCACAAGGTGAGAGGGAATTCAGTGGGAACAGATCCCAAAGAAGACGGTTATGCAAATTGTATTTAACACGCTCGCTTCAAATGACTAGAGAGAGAAATTCTACATAATATTTTAAAACAGAATGTACCCTGTTGGTCATTTGCTGTAGAATGTCTTCAGTGTTTAGAAGAAAACTCAGCATTTGATGTGTCTCGGCAAAAGTTTCACAATGAGCCACCCCGATTTAACACAGACACAGCCCCTTGGCAAAACCCATATCCCACCTGAGACACTAAAGCCCACTGGACAGGAGGAAAAACCACGAGGAGGAGTCCAATGGTACAGCTAAAATATTCTCTAAAAACAAGAAATACACAAAGAAAAGAAGCAAAATTATCCCTTGGAGAATCTGTTAAAAGCTAGGGTGGATCGTGTAAGCAGGCAGGAGGGATCTGGCACTCTAAACAACGGATTTCCAAACTTTTGATGCTGCTTTATTCATTTCAAATCAGTGATGCTGGCGGCGGCAGATTATAAAAGATCTGAGTGACAAAAGCGACATTTCATAACATAGTAGACTTTTGACTGAAAATAACACTCCAGTTTATTTTTTAAACCCTTACAAAAAGAGAAGTGACTGGGGTGCCTGGGTGGCTCAGTCGGTTAAGCATCCACCTTTGGCTCAGGTCATGATCTTGCAGTTTGTGAGTTCAAGCCCCACGTTGGGCTCTGTGCTGACAGCTCAGAGCCTGGAGCCTCTGAGCCTCTTCCCACTAATGCTCTCTCTCTCTCTCTCTCTCAAAAATAAATAAAAACATTAAAAAAATTTTTTTTGAAATGTTTTTTTTCCCAAAGAGAAGTGACAAGTTCAGAGAATAAACAAACTTTATTTTATAACAGTATTACAGAAAGCAAAATACCATTTAATACAACTTGAAGCTGCTATAAATCTAATCTGGCATCATAACTATACATAGGGTCAAAAGCAAAGGAAAAAAACGTTCAATACAGTTAATAGGTCCCTATCAGGTCTCTGGTGTGTGCTGGTAAATGGTCTAGCTTCCTCACAACCATCAAAAAACCACCACAGCCCCTGCTTCTCTCCCTGGTGTCCTCAACCTCATGTGAATCATCCAACTGTCTGAAAGAGACATACCTGCTCCATAACAAAAGGTCAGTTTTACAAGTAGACAAGGAGGTTTAATACAAAGCAAGCGTTCTACACAAGTGTGTTCAAATAATGGAAAGTACTGAAATTTGGACATGTTAAGAAAGAAAGCACTAAGGTTTTAAGCTGCCTGCATATTTTAGCAGAAGGGAAGCCACCATTTTCTCTTCTTCCTCCCTCCTGTTTCTGGAATGCTGCCAAAGAGCACGTGTCTGAGAAGCATTGGCACTGTGGTGCGACAGGGTCTCTCAACACAGTGCGTGGTCAGTGAACTTGTTGGTAATTCTCCAGTCTGGACATTCTCTGACTTTTTACTTTTCTGGCCCAAAGTCAGAGGACTGGAAAGTCAACAGGGTTCAATATAAAAAATATCCCCAGTGAAATTCTCAAACATTAGAAAATTTTCAAGATGTAAGAAATGCTTCTAATCTGTATTAATATTTCCTCGTACAGTATATTGACTGCATCTGAAAATCTGTAAATATTTCCTGTGAGAATTCAATGGGAAGAATCTGGAAGATAGGAAAGCCGCTATTGAAATTAGTCACTGAGTTTCCTTTCTGCACAACAGCACCTGTTCAAGTGAACGGCACCTTACCAGCTTGGGCTGGCTTTGTTCACTATCATTTGATCAAAATGAGCGATTAAAAAGCAGGTAGTTGTACACAAAGCAAACGGGAAAACAAAAACAAAACTCCCTAATTAAGAAAAAAAAAGAATATTTAGAAGTGGTTATAAAACAAAATAATGTATTAAAATAAGAGGGAACAGTATAGACCAGAGCTGTTAAGGTAAGGTTTGGTCGTTGGCATTTTAATTCTTCCGGCTCCTGGTCATGGTTACCAGTCGTAGTATAAATTCGCTGGAGTAGTGGTGTGGCATTAAGACTTGGAATGGTCAAAATTCTTCAGGTTCACAAAGTTGAATGTTGTTTAAAAAAATGCATTTCTAGGAGGAAAAAAAGGGACAAGGGTTAAATATTCCAAAGACAGAGACTTGAAAAAAAAAAGTGTAACATTCCATCCAATTCCAAATTAAGTAACCAACAGTTACTACCTAATTCTACAATACGCAGCATGTTTTCCAGAAGACCAGCACTAAGGACTTACTCCACCCTGAGGAGGCCTTACACTGTGTGGGGAACTGACTGCACACCGAAAACAACCAGCAACTAAGAACACACACAAAAAGACTTAATTATATAACAGGTAATTCATACATTGAAAATCCATAAAGGAGAAACCCATGTAGACTTCAAAGCTAGATTCAAGGAAGGAGGAAAAACAAAGTCCATTCTGACTTCCTTGGAATGAACAGAAACAGTGCTTCAGGTGGGAGAACAGAATGGGGAAAGAGGTCAGGAAATGAGATGGTGTTCAGGGGGGTATGCAGAGTAAGGGGGCAGAAGGGGTTGCGAGAATGAATGAGGAACAGGAGAGTGAGGAAATGGACATTACTGGGGATAAGTAATAATTAAGTAATGGCAGGTCAGGTAAAAAATATTAGGTCTAGTTTTTAATACCTGGCTGACAAGTACAAAATTGATTTGACAGAAAAGAAAAAAAAGGATGAATTCAGGAAGTGCGTTCAGACAAATGAACAGCTCTCAGTGTGCTGTGATGATCCAGAGTAGAGAGCAAGAGGCAGAAGACAGGTCAGAGAGCCAGGGGGTGAGTGGCGGGTCCACGCAGGGCAGGACAAGCCCAGGAGAGGAGGCGGCTGGTTTTGAGGAAGGCTTGAGATGGCCTGATTTTGGTTCTGACAACCTCGCTGAAGCTTCAGTGTGAGGGACAGGCTACAGGTAGGGAGGAGAGAGACAGGAAGGCCAGGTATGCCTGCTGGCTGATGGGGATGTGAGTGCCACAGAAACCAAGTGCAGAGTGGACTGGGAGGTACCCCCGCTGGAGTACAATCAGAGGGTGGTGTCTGGGAAGAAAGTACCAGAGAGCACCATCAGGTTTGGAGTCTGGGACCTCAAAAGCAGAGAGAGAATGAAAGGCGTAAGGCGCAGGTGAGGTCTTAGGACCACGGATGTGGATTTGCAGGTTGGCACAAAGGGTAAGTAAAACTGGCAGGTGAACTAGTCTTTGCAAATATAAGGAAAAATGAGAGACGAGTCCCGGGGAAGCCCATAATCAAAGGGGTGGGGTGGGGGGCGGGTAGAAGAGAGGACTAAAAAAGGAGTGGATAGGGAGATAGACAAAAAATAAGGATGGTGCATTAGCCCCAAGAGTGAAGAGCGTTTTGAGAAGGCAATTTTTCACTTTCTACTCCAGCTTGGTTGGAAGTTTTGGCAAAAGGTAGGTGATTACAGAGGACAGTGGAGAGTGGTAATTAAGGTCCTTTCCAAGAGATATGGCCTCAAAGTCAGTTAGAATGCACACCCCCTTGTCTTGGTAAAATTGTCTTGTTTTAATGGAACAACTCCCCATTACTGAGATTTATCATACATATTATTCTAGCCTCTTGATTACACAGGATAGATTAATCAAATTCACTGTCTCCCACCTGTTGTCTGCTTTTGGCTATTTCATTACTCATTAGGACTTTGCTCGATTCCAGGTTGGGCGGGGGAGAGGGGCACATCAATGGAGAAAACACAAAGTCATCCTTTTTTAGGTTAGTAATTATGAACAGAAACTTGAGGGCTGGTGAGAGGGAATAGATAAAACTACCAATCAAATTGGAACTGGGAGTTATCTGTGACCTTCAGTCACACTATCTGCCCTTGATCTTTGTGAGCTGGTTGCTCTGTTCTTCTTGCTTAGTGAATATGCATTGCTTCTTGAAGCCAGCTGCCGCTCCGCCCAGCTCAGGTTATAGAAAGTGAACCTCTCATGTCACCAGTGCCTGGAAACCTACAGAAAGAGTGAGGTTTAAGCTCCGATTCTCCATTTCCTCTACATTCCATGTCATGTTACTCCACTGAATCTGTTTTCACCAAATATAAAAATTTCAATTTCGAAAAGAAAGCTAAAATTAAGCTTGTTTCAAAGTCATTAGCAGACAAGTAAACAGGAATCTAGGCGTATATAGGAATTGAATGAGAGATCTTGATTTCAAAGAGCTTCAATGTTTATTGAAATATATGTAGAGAAAAAGACATAGTTACTCATGTAAACTCAAATGTCATTTACTTTCATTTATTTGCAATCAAACCACTATAAAGTAAAACAAACCAATTTCCTCTTCTGGTAATAAGTATTACAAATGACAACCTCAACACACTCTTAGAATTCCAAACAGTTTTCAGAAGGATAGAAAATTACATTTATTGTAAGTTTAATGTTAAATGCATTCTCTTCCCCATTCCTTAAGAAGCAGTAAATCAAATGGAACTCTGAGCTAATTAGATATTCAGTATTGCAGAACATCCCAGTTTCTCACTGTTCTGGGTGAATAGGGAGTGATTTATTGTATGAAGTTTATAATTGACACATCCACCTATCTTTTTCTGACTGCTTCCTGTACTTAAACATATATGGAAATAGATTCCCACAAGTAGTAAACATCTAAGCTTTTGAACAAAGGAGGAGAAAAGGATGGAATCACTAACGCCACTGACACACAAGCATCAGACATTTAAACTTTTTTCTGTTCTTCTGCCATGTATCTGTGAGAGAGGAAAAAAAACCTTCGTAGTTGACTTTTTAACAGACTACATTTTAGCTCTAAATGATTTATTACCCATCCCAATCAAACTGAAAACTAGGCCCTGGTTCTTCATACAAGGGCTTCCTACAAGAACTCTTTTTTTTTTTTTTTTTTTTTTAAAGCTTGAATTCTCTCTCTTTCACAATAGTCTGGATACCTTATTTTGTCAACAGATTGACAGGCATTAATCGCTGGCATTAATTACTATCTTTGCCCCTTTTGGCAATATCATAATGGTCACCTTGAGCTTGGATCGGATCAAAACATTGAAGTATATGAATTATACATTATGTATTAGAGTTTTGGTCAAGTAAACAAAAACAGAAGCCCAAAGCACCGTTTCCATGCTTTAGTTTCCCACCCCTAGACTATATACAACGTCAGTGAGCGTTACTGACTACTACAGTGCAGTTCCCCTAGCCTCTGTCCCCCTCTTTGGGCCAGAGTGGGAACAGGTCAAGGTGGCTGCCTCATCTAATCACAGATCTAACTCTATATCCAAATGCTTCAAGGATATGTACCAGTTGCCTATTCCACCTTAAGTCCTCACAGAGGGTTCCAAACAGTCAAATTTATCTTAATGTGCCTGACGAACAGTGGGAAATCAGCCAAATTCAAGCACAGGGGTTTTATCGCTGCATCTGAAAAGCACAACCTCAGAGTTTCCAGAGACAGGGGCTCTCACACAGGGGTTTCAAACATGAGCATGCTCTATTCCAGAAACGGATTCGGTAAACTGCAAATGTGCACTTGTGAGAGAGTATTTGACCCAAACCACTAGAAATACTGCCTGTAAAGTGGTAAAGCACTCATCTGAAGGGGACTCTCAATAAACACGCAAAAATGTGGTTTTTATCCAAAATAATTAAAATAATGCAAGAAACCCTAACATTTAGCTTCGGATTAAGATTCAATTACAATAGGGCAGTAGTACAGCCGGAGATCTTGAAAACATGAGTAAAATATTTATGTAAGAGATAATCCAACTCTTTCCTAAATAAAAATGTGGTCCATGCACCCAGGTGTAACGTTCAGCTTTAAATACAATAGTTTATGGATTTCAGTTATTACTGATGCTAAACCGTCTTCCTTGGTCTTTGAGTATTTGATTTTAATTTTTAAACCGAATTTTCATTCTAAGAGGGGTCCTAGAACCAAAAAAGTAGGAGAAGTTCTATACGGTTAACCCAGGGAACAGCCAATGCTCACCATGTTTATAGCACCACTATGATGCAGACCGACCAGTTCTCCAAGTCTGCAGATCCTGAGGGAGAGACGTTTTCGGGGGGTAATGAAGTCAAAGCCATTTCATAATCACACTGAGCCATTAGTTGCCATTCCGGGGAATGGACATTTTCACTGATAGTGACACAAGGGTGAGCGCCCCTGTTGGCATCATGACACATAGGTCAAAGCAGTGCCACCAAACTGTACCAAAGTCACTGTTACCACCGCGCACTCTCGGTGACATAGAAGCAAAGACAGTAAGGCGGCAGGCAGCTTCACTTAAGGATGTCCTTGATGAAACACAGAAGATAAAATTACTGTCTTACATCTCAACCACCGAGTTCCTGTCTTTTTAACATTCTGTGGAATGAAATGGAAAATGGGCATAGAACACTCCTGCGGCATACAGATGGACGGTGGATGTCTAGAGAAAACAAGTCCTGCTTGGATTGTGAATTGAAGAGGCTGCTTTTTCATAACCACCTTTTTTATTTGAGAATTACTGAACGACAAACCATGTTATTCAATTTGGCAGGCATTTTCTTGAAAATGAGGTGAGCCTGTCATTTCAAGGAAAACAATGGACGATACTTGTGGCTGGTGATAAAATTCAAGCTTTGAGGTGAAACTGGGATTTTGGAAAACTAGTCCGGCCACCATGAGCTTGACAGCTTCCCAATTCTCTCTCTTTCCCAATATTTAAAGACTCTTATGAGATCAGTGGCAACCACTGTTTTTAGTGTCTCACTCATTGTGCCTCTTCCAGGATTTCATATCATTGGAACCACACACTATCTGTAGCCTTTCAGACACGCTTCTTTCACTAAGTGATTATTTTGAGCTATTTTAATAAATATTTTACATTTGTTATGTTTAATTTGTAATGTGGTAAATTTCAATAATCTTGATTTTTACTAGGGTGAATTTTGATAGATATACTTCACTCTGACAAAAGCTCTTTGGGTTCTTTGGTAATATTTAAGAGAGCAAAGTGTCTGAGGACCATCAACCTTAGAAATTGCTTGTGTAGCCTCTGCTGTCCCTAACGTATCACTCTTTCCTTCTCT